TTAACATTTTTGAGCGAGGAAAAATGCAATTATATATCAAAATATTTGATTTTTGACAATTAATGTGGTGGTCATCTTGGATTTCAAAATGGCTGCCGTCCTAGCTTATGGAAGTTATTCTTATTGGACTCAGAGAGCCTAATTACATATGAGTAGACATCAAATTTACCATTTTTCAATGACAGGAAGTGGAATTATAATGGAATATTTGATTTTTAAAGATTACTATGACAGCCATCTTGAATTTCAAAATGGCTGCCATCCTAGGTTTTTGAAACATGTCTAATTGAATTCAGTGACCCTAATAACATTAGTTAGACACCAGATTTACCCTTTTTCATGGAGTAGAAGTAAAGTTATGAGCCATTCTCTTGATTTTAGCGGCCATTTTAAAAATGGCCGCCAAAAAACATGTTCCGCCCTTTTTCAGGAGGCTCACCCCCGCTCATTTTTTTATTTATACTCTAGTGATGCCGAATCAGCAGAGAAACCTTGGTCCCCGGAAAATGGTCACGGGGGCCCTGTTTTTCACTATACTATTAGTCCCTTGGGCAGTTCTTTATTAGTCCCTTGGACACTTATTAATTCAAACCTTACTGCACTTGTTTTTCATATAATTTTTAGGTAAACAAAATTTTATAAAGTTATAAAAAGATTTGATAAATTTTATACTTAGAAGTGTTGCTAAATTGTGCTATTTTTTTTTGTCATCAGTATATTTGATTTATTAACTCTTCTTATTATATGTGAACTACAGAAAAATGTAGAGGGCCTACAATATGCAGATCTGGGTTTGCCTCGCAGTTTACCAACTGACAAGAAAAATGTAATCCACCACCCAGACCAGGAGACAACTTACTCCAGTATCCAACCCCAACCCCAACAGATCTGACAACCAGCGCCATCCATAGTACATCCAACCAACAAAGTGCATCCTGTTGATGATATTTTCACAACCTGCAGAAAAGAAAAAAAGGAAGAAAAAGAAAAATAATGAATATCAACAACAGGAAAATGAGCACACAGAGGAGTGAACTTGATTTAGAATCTTCTGTCAAAAATTAAATAACAAGTCAAACACTTGGTAAATTAATGCTGCAATAATTGATTATGCGTTTACATTTATAAATATTATTCACCCCAACAATCTAATTTCCCTAGTCTGTTAACTGTTTTAATCATTATTGTTATGCTAACCATATTAATTACCCTAACTATGTTAATTATCTTTATGATTTAATAATTATACTTTGAGCTATAATAGAGCTGCATGATTATACAAACATAAATTTGGTATAAACATCTATAAAAAGAAAAAAAAATCAATCAGTGTATTACTTAGGGTTATTTGAGAATTTTAATGAGGAATTTTACATGCAAATGCTTATTTAATGAAAATAATGAATATATTATCAAATTTCAAGTTTCCCACACCACTGACAGCAATTGCTGTAGTAAATCATTTTGAAGAAATTCATACCCTGATTATTGCATGTTAATTGCTAGTTTTTTATGATTATGTTGCTTGAAACTGGTGGATATGCCATGGATGGAATTATAATGAAAAAAAAAATACTTTTACAAGTATGTTGTAAATAATTGCTTTTACATAGTTTACAAGAATGCTGTTTGTTCTCAAGAGCTTAGTCATATCCTGTCATCATTAGCATTCATTATTCTAAGAACAATATTTTCCATGTCTGGCTAAATGCTATTCTTAATACATTATTGTTTCCTATATTTAGGCACATGACCATATTTGGGCAACTCCCATGAATTTGCTATATTACTAGCAGCGTGCCTTTGAAATGCCTTTCGCACCATTTTGGATTGGTTCAGTTGTACTGTACTGTACAGTATATTTTTATATCCACTTGATATGCCTCTGTTGTAGAAGATAACTTACCAATCCCATGTGCCTCAATAACATGTCAACACATTCCATTGGAAGTAGGTTGCTTAAAAACATCTACTCTACCTGGAAGAAACCATAGCAACTTTTTAATTATGGCTAAAGTGACATTCATTATGACAAGTAGTTTAATCTTCAAAATTTTCTCAGTTAGTACTCTCTTTTAGTTTTAAGTTGTTGAAGCTTTGTTAATTCTAATATACTCAGAGTATTTGTGAACTTGTATTTGATGAAGTATTAATTTGATATAAACACACTTTGTGGTGGCTCTGATAATCACTTTTACTAAATTCCTCTTTGCTAATTACTTTTAAGCTTACTGTAGGTTTTTAGTTAAATTCAGTTGTAGAAATGTATTGTTTGTTTAATGATTTTTGTGTTTAACAATAAGCTATAAAATGAAAACCAGAAAATATATGCATTACATGTTTTTTTGTTTAATTTCCAACTAATTACTGTGGTTGTAGGCACTTAGTGACAATGAAATACAGTCAAATTTATATAGACCTACTGAAATGACGTTGGTAAATCTATGAACAATTAAAGGATGAAATATGCTATATGCGAATTATTACCATATAAGCATTGAGTACATGCTAACTAGAGCTAACATTGTGGTGTTGCTTAGCAACAAGTAAAATTAAATCCATATGAAAATTACATTAAATATTCAGTAGTAATGTACTGTTCCCCTTTTATTAACACTTTGGGTTTTTTCATTAAATGATTAAAATTATGAAGTCTGAATATTGATAAGTGCATAATTCATCCATAAATATAAATAATAATAATATTAATAATAATGATGTTATATTCATATAGCGCATATTGCACATTGCCCCTATGCGCTTTACAAAGAAATAATATAGGCCAACTGAGAAAAAGCAAATAACAATAAAATAATAACAATAAAATAAATGTGTTGAAATCTGCGAAAAATAAATGGTTAATAGAAATAATCAATATGAATATAGCAATGTACAAAACTTTAAACAATATTGATTGTGAATATTGTTAGCATATATATCATAGAATAACCAAAAACCTTTCAATATAATTGTTCAGGTACTATAACTTTTGAATGTTTTTTTACTAATTATTTAATATATAATAATAATTTTATCAATTCTTAGTTTTAGTTATAATGTATTTTAATAAGCTTTTTTATTATACCAGTTATAATCTCTTTGAAACCGCACTGCTCACAATATTTTATGGGTTTGTACACTCCACTTTTGATAAGTGTGTTAGATATACAGAGGTTCTTAGGTTCATATATGGCTTATATGCATACATGAAAGAATTCAGCAAAGCTAGCCACCTGGAATGCAAAATGCACAGAAGAACCCACCATTGTGCACTTATTTTTCAGTGCAATTTGAATATGTACTGAATTACACACATGTGCATCAGTTGTCTTTTGTATACGAGGCTGGTAGCGGAGCGAAGTTCACTTTTGTGGCATGCTTAATTAAGATATGTAGCGTCCATGTATACATGTTGCATACAAACATGTGTCATTGTGTTGCATTATGTGCATTGGGTGTTATACATGTTACAATATGTGTCATCAAGCATGTGTCATATGTGTTGTATACAAACATGGTGTCACATACCATATGAACATGTCATATTTTGCATCTAACATGTATTTTTCATACACATTTGTGCAATTGTAATGCACTATGTTTCACCTACACAAGTAAGTAATAAGCTATATATATTACATAATGATATGGGCCATATGAGTCTTGTAAATGAATGAGCCATAAGCTCTATGTTAGTCGAAGTGAATATGGACGGTCCATATATGCCACTAGCAGTATGGGCACATTGTCATAGAATAGTTTTTCTTGTTTAATATTACTACAGAAAATGAAACAAAATAGTACTGAATTAAGGTTTTGATTGAAATGAATTGATGAATTTGGTGTTGAATGAAGATCATAAATCCGACAAACCAGTTCGTTGAGTCTAAATCATTGTCTACACTATCAAATTTTCTTTGACAGAAAACTGTTGTATGCCCATATATAGTCATAATGTGCCTACATTTAGTCATGATGTGCCTATATATGGCCGTGATGGGCCTATATATGGTCATGATGTGCCTATATTTAGTCATGATGTGCCTATATATGGTCATGATGTGCCTATATATGGTCATGATGTGCTGCCATTATGACCATATTTATACAATTCATCAAATTCATTGTCATGAAGTGTCTATATGCGGCCATGGTTAGCGGTGGCGCCAGAAATTTGTCGACAAGGGGACTGACGTGTCTGGCGGAGGGGTCTGAACCAAGGCGACAACGAGGCCACGGTGGACGGCCCCGGAATAAAAAATCACTGTTAGGGTTGACAGGGTTTTTACGGCTTAATTTTGTCCTAAATGTGCTTTTAGACCACAATATTAGGGATTGCCAATCAAAATTACGTTATTTGGATAGGCAAATTATTATTTTTTTTTTTCCTTCTGGTTCCTACGACCTAGTCGTTTGTTGGACGACAGGGGGTCTAGGCCTGTCCGATGGGTGGGAAAATGCCCTGCTGGCGCCACCCTTGGTCGTGGTGGGATACCATTATTACCATATTTAGGCATGTCATGTACAAGATTTTGTCAAACAAAATTTGATAATCTGGAAAGGATGATGGTACGTATATGTATTAATAAGAGTACAGTATTTACAGAGGCGTATTGTACAATGCTGTACACTGCGGATGAGGTGGATGCTAATACAGTAGGCCAAACATATTAATTTTGTTAACGATTTTGATGTAGCAAGTGATATAGTTCACAATTGTATACCATGACTGTATACCATGGCTACCTGCATAAGAAAGTATAAAACAAAATAAGAGAATGTTATGCAAGATGTGAGATTTTCCAACTTTACTTGCCAATTTATGGTTATGGAATTCCACAAACCAGTGGTTTTTAATGTAGGCCTACAGGTATTTCAGTAAGTTATGATAAGAGTTCTTTAGTTGTATTGATGTAAAAATTATATTTTGATTTCTAATTATGTCTACTGTATTAATAATGTTAGTTTCAGCTTTAAAAAATAAACTGCATTAAATGCTTACCGGTGTTTTATGACTTACTTTGTAATTGGATTCGATTGGATTGGCTTTATTTGGTGTAAACACCAATGATAGCCCACGAAAGTGTAGAAGAAGACTTATTTCCTGTGGGGTCATTCAGGTGGTGATTGGGCAGCACACCGGGAGACAATCCCCTACCTTTTCTGAAAAGTGTATAACGTTATTTAACATGCAAATGGCCATAAATGCACAATGGCTTAAACGTCCCATCCGAAAGACTGTGCGCTATTGTAACTTGCAGCTGAAATACAAGGACAGCAGTGATTGGAATTGAACCGGGGACCTAGAGATCTCCACGCTTCAGCGCACACATAGTGGCTACCACCAGATTAGCCGACTGGGCTAAGCTACCCTCTTATGTCTCTCTGATGTCTTCAATGAAATTTGTTTTCATGTTGAGGGACAGTAGAACACTTGACCTATGATGCAAGATGTACTTTAATGATCATGATTTTGTTAACATGATCAGGGGCGTAGGCTGGTCAGAGGGTGCATAAATTCACCTACACTATTATATTTACTTGTTTAACATCAAACCATGATTAAATAAGACAACTCGGATGTAGACCACGGTTCCAGAAATATAACCGCGTCCATGCACTGCTCACCGACTGTTTTATTTTACAATTAGAAGTTCAATAAAGATTTTTATTGATGTACAGTACAATTCAATATTATTGTGCTGCTGGTATTTTGATAAAAAGTACTATGAGAGATAAAGAGATGTTTTTGCCATTTCTTGCAAACAGGTCAATTCAATATTGGCCTAGTTAATTTATTTCTATTTTTCTTTTTTTAAGTTTCCCTCTCTGTGACAGACACTGCCCTTCTGAGTGGCCGTCATAAAACATCATAAAAATCACAAAACAGACGTAGGACTAATGATATCACAACTTGAATTCAAATTGCTTCCCATCCATAACCTACAAGGCCATCAATGCCTCAGTATATTACCGATAGAACACTTCCTCGCGTACACTTTTTCTTAAATAGTGAACCCATTTTATGCATAATTTTGAGAATTCGGGAACCATTTTTCAAAAAGTGTATAGGCCTAAGTTAGACCTATTTTTAAAAATGTGGACCCATTATTTGTATAATTGTGGACCCAATAGAAACAATTTACGGGACTGCCCCAATAGCTGACTACGACATCATCAAATTTGTTGCTACGATTTTGTGTCAAATTTGTTGCTATGATTTTTGTGTCAAATTTGTTGTTTGTTTAGGCAACATTGAAATAGACGATTATTTCAGTAACACTGTTAAAATCTGGTCAA